CCTACAGAATGGGAGAAAATTTTTGCAGTCTCCTCATGTTACAAAGGGCTAATATCCAGAACCTACAAAAAACTCAAACAAATTTACAAGAAAAAAATGAACAACCCCATGAAAAAGTGGGCAAAGGATATGAACAGACATTTCTCAAAAGAAGACATTCATACAGCCAACAGACACATGAAAAAATGCTCATCATCACTGGCCATCAGAGAAATGCAAATCAAAACCACAATGAGATACCATCTCACACCAGTTAGAATGGCGATCATTCAAAAGTCAGGAAACAAAAGGTGCTGGAGAGGATGTGGAGAAATAGGAACACTTTTACACTGTTGGTGGGATTGTAAACTAGTTCAACTATTATGGAAAACAGTATGGCGATTCCTCAAGGATCTAGAACTAGATGTACCATATGACCCAGCCATCCCATTACTGGGTATATACCCAAAGGATTATAAATTATGCTGCTATAAGGACACATGCACACATATGTTTATTGCAGCACTATTCACAATAGCAAAGACTTGGAATCAACCCAAATGTCCATCAGTGACAGACTGGATTAAGAAAATGTGGCACATATACACCATGGAATACTATGCAGCCATCAAAAAGGATGAGTTTGTGTCCTTTGTAGGGACATGGATGCAGCTGGAAACCATCATTCTTAGCAAACTATCACAAGAACAGAAAACCAAACACCGCATGTTCTCACTCGTAGGTGGGAACTGAACAATGAGATCACTTGGACTCGGGAAGGGGAACATCACACACCGGGGCCTATCATGGGGAGGGGGGAGGGGGGAGGGATTGCATTGGGAGTTATACCTGATGTAAATGACGAGTTGATGGGTGCAGCACACCAACATGGCACAAGTATACATATGTAGCAAACCTGCACGTTGTGCACATGTACCCTACAACTTGAAGTTTAATAATAATAAATAAATTAAAAAAAAAAAATCAGAAAATGACAGGTGCTGGAGAGGATGTGGAGAAAGAGGAACACTTTTACACTGTTGGTGGGACTGTAAACTAGTTCAACCATTGTGGAAAACCGTGTGGCGATTCCTCAAGGATCTAGAACTAGAAATACCATTTGACCCAGCCATCCCATTACTGGGGATATACCCAAAGGATTATAAGTCATACTGCTGTAAAGACGCGTGCACGCATATATTTATTGCGGCATTATTCACAATAGCAAAGACTTGGAATCAACCCAAATGTCCATCAGTGACAAATTGGATTAAGAAAATACGGCACATATACACCATGGAATACTATGCAGCCATAAAAAAGGATGAGTTTGTGTCCTTTGTAGGGACATGGATGCAGCTGGAAACCACCATTCTCAGCAAACTATCACAAGAACAGAAAACCAAACACCACATGTTCTCACTCATAGGTGGGAACTGAACAATGAGATCACTTGGACACAGGAAGGGGAACATCACACACCAGGTCCTATTGTGGGGAGGTGGTAGGGGGGAGGGATAGCATTAGGATATATGCTTAGTATAAATGATCAGTTAATGGGTGCAGCACACCAACATGGCACATGTATACCTATGTAACAATCCTGCACGTTGTGCACATGTACTCTAGAACTTAAAGTATAATTTAAAAAAAAATCTTTTACTGTAAAGGATCCTACTACTTAAATTAATAATTAGTGTGTTCTTTTAGCCTTTCGATGTTATTTTGCTTTTATGTTGTTACCTAGTTACAAAGTTAACTTTATTATTTCCCCAAGACATTTTTGTAAATAGGATGAAAGTCTCAAAGGTTTTAATTACCTTAGTTCAACAGGAGTTACTAGTATTTCTAACACTAGCACTTCAATTCTAATTATCATCCCAAACTGGGCTTTGGATTTCTTTCATTTGAATCCCTCTTATATTTACTGTTTAAGTGATGCTCTGGAAATTTCACCTTTATGAGGCTGTGTTCTGGGATTTAGTATTTATCCAACAAAGAAGAAATGATTAAAGAAGCAGATAGATAATTAAACTATTCAGGTTAGGTGTTCTAAAACCTAATAGACGTCATTAAAAATTAAATTAGAAAGCCAGATTTCTCATTATTATTTCTTTTCTCAAATTCACAGAATGCTCATTTGGCTATATGCATGGTTTCTTTTAAATGATAATACAAAGTCTCTTATTACAAACTCAACAATTGCTAAAACATAAACCCCGCAGTTTTCTCATTAGTAATTCTTTCCTCAAATTCACACAATGTTCATGTTATTACATGCCCAATAGCTTTTAAATGTTCATGAGAAAGATCTTATTGCTAAGTTTTAGGATTACTGAAATCACATCTGCCATTAAAATTTACTAAAGAACTCAGGAAAGTTCTTACAATATACCATTTCAGCTAAGTAGGTAGGTTATTTTAAAAATTCAAATCTTCTGGCATATATTCCGACTTATAAAGAGTAACTATGCTAAATAAAATTACAATGTACATTGTGTTTTCAATACAGATGTTCAAAGTGAACCATGGGCAAAATATTCACATTTTGTTAATAAAATGGCAGAGTAGCCAACGAAAGAAACAATTACTGAAATGTTTAATCTGGAAAAGAAATGTACAGCTTTCCACAAAATGCTGTTTTGTTTTGTTTTGTTTTGTTTTTTACTTTCCTTTTTTTTTTGGTCTTTATTTTTTGAGACAGAGACTTATTCTGTCACCCAGGCTGGAGTACTGTGGTGTGATCTCAGCTCATCGCAACCTCTGCCTCCTGGGTTCAAGCGATTATTTTGCCTCAGTCACCTGAGTAGATGGGATTACAGGCATACATCACTATGCTTGGCTAATTTTTGTATTTTTAGTAGAGATAGAGTTTTGCCATTGTCAGCCATGCTGGTCTTGAACTCCTGGCCTCAAATGACCCACCTGCCTTGAACTCCCAAAGTACAGAGATTACAGGCGTGAGTTACCATGCCCGACCACAAAATTCGTTAAATACATAATCTATGTGGGTGCAAAGGCAAATATAGAAAGGAAAACCAAATGCCCTGAAGGAGAAGCACAGTGTGGGCTGGGACAAATCCTTCGAGGTCAAACAAACCTAAAATACACTGTGGCAATGCCTCTGCAGTTGCTTCTTCAAGGGTAGAAAGTGCTTTTCACCTCCTCAGTGCGTTCACAGATACCCTGTGTGGTCCAGATACCAGAAGATTTAGACAAATCCCATGTCACACTTAGTCCAAGATGCTTGGGAGACTCACTGAAGTGCAGCCTTTCCTTCTATCCAGGCTGTTACAGTACAGCTTGATCTGGTCTGAGATCCCAGTCTCAGATTTTGTTTTATCCAATTCCACAATACTTCTAGGTGCCCTCATGACAGTTGCAAAACCTCTAAACCTCCCTTAAATTACATAAATTAAACAGTCTCTTATTGTCTCTCCTTGCCATGCCATGGTTTGCTGCCACCAAGTTAGAGTAATTCTGTCTGTCATTACTCAGACCTCTGACTTGAAATGGCTCTCCCCTGATGGTAAAACCTGAATCATCCTGTGCCTGCCCAACATCCATCCTCCCTTCTACAGGCCACCAGAGCTTGGTGCTAGAGAAAAATCCTTGAGAAAAGCTGTGACTCTTTCTTTCCCCTCATTTCCAATACAGAGGGTAAAAAAGAAACAGCATTTTCCTACTTATCTAAAAACTAGCAAACTCACTTTTTTTTCCACTTCAAGCTGTGAAAGAAATCATGAGTTGCATATTTATAGCATCCTGAAAATTGTCCAGAAGTCATAAATTATGTTTATTTTTTACTATATTCAAAGATCCCCACCCAGAACAGAAAGACCAACAGAAAATATGTTTGGGGACTACTTTACTTCTACACTGACTGAATAGTCACAATGCAATATATTACCTTTATTAATCTTTTTTTGTTATGAACATAATTTTTAAGTAGAGGATAAGGTGGACTTGTCACAAGAAAATGAAAGTCTGTTTTTCAAGCTATTACTTTTGTACTTGCTTTGGAATTACAATATAGACATTTCGTCAAATGTCCTCAGACTCTCCAGTTTGACAAATGTTATTTCACTCCCTGTCCTTTTCTAAGACATGTTTACCTTTTCCTTTGTTCTAAAATATGTTGTTCATATAATACAAAAATAAAACTCTAATAGAAAAATGTGTCACATGAAATAATAACAAATCCTCCAATTCTAATCTAGTTTAAACACATAAAGCTTCATGACAACTTGTCAGCTACATTATCATTGATAGTTTTGTTAAAAACCCTATAAGTTTTTATGGTAAATTTTGTGGTAAATTTGAAGATACTTAGACTTCCTTTCTCTACCCCCTTCTCCCTCTCACCCACACGAAAAACTGAGGCAATTAAGCAAAGTTAAAATTCTAATTATCAAGTCGTTAGAAATGGCCTTTATTTCACTCTGAAAATTTGATGGAATAAGCACATATTCCTAATAAACATCACAAACAAAAAATAATTTTCACAAACAGATAACAATAATAAATGAAACTAAGGAAAACATACACTGAGCTTAGAAGTGTCCACATGAAAGTAACAATTTCTAGGTTGACACCACATGTTCCCTTTTTGGTGATATTTTGGTTTGTCTAACTCCTTAATCTCAAAGCATGAGACAGATGATTTGACTTTCATTTTACTTTATGTTATGCAGGTCTGAATAAAGAAGGAATTCATTTCTTAGGGGTTCTAATTGCTCTCTCCATCTGCTTGTAATAGCTTTAAAATGAGCCTATCACAATGGCTACCTTGTAATGAATAAGCTGTTTTCCATTGACATTATCTGGATTTTTTTTGACCTAGGCAAAGTAATTTGTCCACATTTTGGCACAACAGAGGTTGCTTCTTCCCTTCCTATTGGCTGGTAGTAATTCACTCTTATTCAATCAACACTCAAACTTATATCAAAGCATGAATCCTCTTATCCTTCATTAGCTCTTCAGCTTACATTATGATTAACTTCATGGAAAGATCAACTTACCTGGCACAAACTGTCTCCTGAATCTGCCATTCTGAATAGGCATTCCTTTGCCTTTGCTGTTGGGTAGTACTTAATTTTGGTTGTGGCTTTAATGATTCCATCACAGTAGACATTGACATGGACTGAACCAGCAGGAAACTCTTATGAAAATAATAAACAAGAATTAGGGGCAGAGTATTTAATGCATATTCATACTATTACATCTTTTAGAGAATATAAAAGAAGTCTTTAAAAATTCACAACACTTTTACTAATCTCTAGCACTTAAAATCGTTTTTAAAATTCTTGGTAGTTGGAAACCACAAAATGAAATGTACAATTTTAGACTTAATTGCTTAAAAAAACTTAAAATACAAAACGTATGTTAAAATAACAATAAAAGTAAAGCACTAAATTATTTGTCCCCACTTACTTACTAATATAACTTTTCTTCGTAACATTCTATAATCTTGGCAAAATTCTTTAGAATTTGGAAAAGTATAGCCATTTATCAAAAGTTAGGTATTTATTATTTATCTTATGAAAACAATTTAATTAATTACAGGCAAGTTTATCAAAATTGTAATTTGAAAGAGTAGAGCTGATTTAAACTATACAACTCGTATTCAGTTGACTACAATGAAAAACCCTGGGAAAGGCAAGGTTTAATGCCCAGATACTAAAGTAGTATTTACATCATACATTCATCTAAAGCCTTTTTGAGAACAAATTGTTCAAAATGAATGATACACTACATTGTGAACTGTGCTGTAATATATGAGCAGCATTAAAGTTATATAAGAATTTAGGACTGTCTATGAAAGAATATCAAAAGACAATCAATAAAAAGTTATTATGTTTTAGTGTAAGAAAAGTAAACAAAATGTAATTCTTTAAATTCATTTATGGAACAAATTTTAAGAGCTTTTAGTCTGTCATTGAGATACTTCCCAAGTTCTCCCAGAAAACTGTCACTCAAATATCTAGGGTTAGGAATAAGTCATTAAATACAAGAGCTTTGAATATTTAAAAGTTTTTAAGGTTTAAGTATTAATTTCACTTTATCTCATGAAGCTGTTAAAGGAGTTCTTATAATATTGCTGAAGGAAATTTAAATGCAATGAAAGCAATCTTAAGCTTAACTAGGTCAAGGAGCTGAAATTTCTTCCTCTCATAATTCTTGACTAGATGCCTTGCCTGTATTATAATGATATATGTAGAAAAATAGGAGCTCTCTCTTCCCAAAGAAGCATTCATCCAATAGAGAATGTAAGGGAAACTACAACAAACAAAAATGAAAGTTTTAAAGCACATCTCATCAGCTAAAGCAGTATGCATATGGTAAAGGGGGTTCTAGAGTTACTGGAGTCAAATGAAATCAATTTCAGTAGATTTAATAAAGATAAATTTCAATGTAAATGTTATGATAAGTCATAAAAATTATTTTGAAAGAAGATATTAATTTTGTTTATCACAAAAGAGATTTGGAGTTTTACCATGGAGAGTCAACCTTTTGAAAGAAAATCAGGTAATGAATCATGAGAGGTATATGGTGAGATTTGCTTGGTAGTTTTTTGATACAGAGTAGATAAATATTCTATATTTTTTTAATCTAACATGAAACTGAACTGATTTATTCTTATATATTGAGTCCTTAGTTAACTCAAAATTTTACCAGTGCATCTACTGATAATGATGTCAATTTTAGAGTAATCCTCCAAGGAGATGCCTTTTAAAGTGTGGTGTTTGCTGTATACATTCTCATATTTGTTAAATGGCAGTTATTAAATCAATATCTAATTACTGGTACCAACTATATGTCACAGAGAATGCCTTATAGATTCATCTGGTTGGGAGGCCTCCTCAGTAATATATTATTGAACTGACCTTTACATGAGCAGTACCCTGCACTGCTTGAACATTATTTTACTTTAATTTTGGTTCACTATGATGACTGTATTTTACAGCTTCTCAGTAAAAATAAAAACCAATCAATGTAAGGACTCAAATAGAAGAGAGTAAAATTAAATGCTGTTTACTGTCTGGACGAAAGTAGTCAAGCAACACCTAACCCTGTAAGTGCACACAAATACAGGTCAAGATCTCCAAACCAAGCAAGGATATTACTGAGTCAGCCGTGAAGAGGAAAACAGGCACAGAATGGAAGGGAAAAATGGAACTCCTTGCTCCCATCATTTCAAATCTCAAATTCTGTTACATTCAAATGTCTTTGTCAGCCTTCCCCTTCTCTATACTTAAGTGGTCTGTCCTTGATGAGGTACAAATTGAAGTAATTTGTGAGAACTATAATCCAAAGGTATTTCTGAGTAGTTAAAATATTTCACTAATTCTATAAAAGTGGATATTTCACAAATCTATTAATTTCAGAGCTCTTTTGTCTGCGTATGTCTATTGCCTGAGAAGCTGTGTTCCTTTATGATCCCATTTTAGACTTTTCCCATACAGTAAACATTAAATGAACCCACTACTGTTTCCATGAAAATGAAATAAACATGGCTCTATTTGGATTCTAATATCATCATTAAATAAATATAGGTGGCTTCAAAACCTGGGTCATGCCTAAAAATTAATATCAATTTAAAATATGTTAAAATTGTTTCCCTGAATTACGATATTTATAAAAATATATTATCAATCGTTATTTTCTTAAGCAGGTTGAGCATAATATTTGGCATATCCTGAAGTATTTTTCATGCTCTTCTAATGAAATATAAAGTTATAATTTACATTATCCAGAGCATAGTTTCTTAATAAAGAGATTCTAAATCTTAGTGGATACATTATGCATTCCTTTCAACTTTTAATTGGTTATCTTCCTGCTGCATTAAATTTTTTTCTCACAGTACTATAAGTACCAGAAGAGTACTCTCTACGTTCTTTGAAAAAATTAGTTAGTATTTACAGTTTAATGGTTTCACATATATTTATTATAAGTTTTGACATAAGCTGAGATTTTAGTAACTCAAATTGCTTTAGTACAAAACAGTCCCTGTCAGTGACAAACCTATGGTTACCATTAGGAGGGTGTGGTTTCTAGAAAATAAATTAATTATAGGTGTGGCAAGTTATTGAGCTGAAAGGAAAGGGGAGATGGCAAAATTAGAAGACATTTTCTCAAATAAAAACATCAGGTTAAGATGTTTCCATGTGTCAAAAGGGAAAGATGCTACTTAGTAAAAGAACATCTTAAGATTTCACCACCTATCCGCATAATTGTACTTTAAAATAATTTTTGTTTATCTCTACATTGTTGCCAACTGAAAATATCTGGCACTGCTGCTGTTTTTTATGGAAGACCAATAATTAATGATTCAATTTTTTAGAGACATAGACCTCTTCAGATTATCCATTTCTCCTTGTGTGACTTTTGGTGGTTTATGTCTTTCAAGAAATTTGTCCATTTGTCTAAATTATCAAATTTGTATCCACACTCACTATTATCCTTTTAATGTACCTGGGTCAGTAGTAATTACCCCTATCTTATTCTTGATATTAGTAATTTGTGTCTTCTCTCTTTCTTTTTTGGTTAGCCAGGCTAAAAGTGTATCAATTTGGTTGATCCTTTCAAAGAACCAGCTTTGGATTTTGTTGAATTTCTCTCTTATTTTCCATTTCATTGTTTCCTGCTCTAATTTTTATGATTTATGTTATTCTGCTTGCTTTACACTTAAATTGCTCATCTTTCAATAGTTTCTTAAGTGGAAGCATGGTTATTAATTATATATGTTTCTTCTTTTCTATTATATGGTTTTAATGATAAAAATTTCCCTGTCCATACTTTTTATCTGCATTCCACAAACTTTGTTAAGTTGCATTTTAATTTATTTCAAATTATTTGAATTTCACCTTAGAAGTGTGTTACTCAATCTCTGAATTTGGGGGATTTTCAACTATCTTTCTGCTGCTGATTTCTATTTCAATTCTATTGTGGTCTGACAACACACTTTGCATGATTTCTATTCTTTTATATTGAATAGAGTTTATTTTTTAAAGATGCAGCAGATGGCTTATCTTGGTGAATGTTCCAAATGAGTTTCAGAAAAACGTGCATTCTACTGTTGTTGGATGGAGTATTCTATAAATGTCAATTAAATCAAGTTGATTAACAATAGTGTTCAGTTCATTTATATACTTCTTGATATTCTGTCTGCTGAGTCTATTAATTACTGAAAGACAGTGTTCAAATCTTATATAACAGTGTCTATTGCTCTTTTCAATTCTAGCAGCTTTTGCTTTACATATTTTGACACTGTTGTTAAGTGCATACATGTTTAAGAGTTTTCTGTTTTCTTGGAGAATATGTCTTTATCATTATATAATGCTTCTGTTTATTCATGATAATTTTTCTTTTTCTAAAGTCTTCTTTGTCTGAAATTAGTACAACTTTCTAGATCTACTTTGATTAGTGTTATCACGGTATTAGGTTGGTGTATCTGTGTTTTGATCTCTGCTTCATTTTCTCATTCTTCTTGTATTCCAATTTCATTACATTACTTTCAATGCCATTTGCAAAACTGCAATTACTTTTGCACCAACCTCCAACCTACCTTGCTCCAACCCTTTCACTTTTCACTTTTGATTTACCCATGTCTTAATATTTAAATTGAGTTTCTTATAGACAACATATTATCGGGTCTTGTTTGTTATACATTCTGGCAATCTCTGTCTTTTAACTGACGTTCTTAGACTATTCACTAAACTTAAGTAGTGATTACTTGGCTTCAGTAATGTGGTTGGGTTATATCTACCATACTTGTAATTTTTTTTCCCTACATTTTTATTTGTTCTCCCTCTCTACCCCAACCTTTTCTGCTCTCTCTCAAAATTATTTGAGAATTTTGTAGGATTCCATTTTCTCTCTTCTTAGCCTACTATTTATAGTTTTAAAAAAATTTTTAGTAACTGTCCTAGAGTCTGAAATATACATTTTTAACAAACTTAAGTCCCTCCTGTCCCTTATGATATTGCTGTCATTACTTTCACTTATCCATATGCTGTAATCACGCAACACATTGATAGTGTTTACTTCAGACACACATTTATCTTTTAGATCAATTAAAAATAAGGACAATGAAGGATTTTGTTTTTACCTTCATTCATTTATTCTCTGATGCTCTTTAGTCTTGTAGATCTAAGTTTCTCACCTATATTATTTCCTTTCTTTACAAATAACTTCTTTTACAGTTTCTTGCAGGGTAGGTCTGCTGGTAATGAACTCCTTCATTTTTCTGTCTGAAAAAGTCCTTATTTCTCCTTCATTCCATATTCAGGATAATTTCACTGAATACAGAATATTAGATTGGTGGGTTCCTTTTTTTCACAATACTTAAAATATTTTACTTCACTATTTTCTTGCTTGTGTGGTCTCTGAAGAGAAATTCAACATAATTCTTATACGCATTTCTCTACAGGTAAGTTATTTGTTTTCTCTGACTTCTGACAAGATTTTCTCTTTTGTTTTCAGTTTTCTACAGTTCAAATGTAATATGAATAGGTGTCAATATTTTATATTTATCTTTCTTTATGTTACTTGAGCTTCCTATATCTGTGTTTTGATCGCTGCCATTAATATATAAACATTTATTGTTCTTCATTTTCTCATTCTTCTTGTATTCCAATTACATGTATGTTAGACCTTTCGAAATTGTCTCACATTTCTTAGATGTTTTGTCCTTTCTTTAAAAAACAAAGAAACAAACAAAAACTTTTTTCTCTTTACCGTTTATGCTTGGGAAGTTTTCATTGACCTGTCTCCAGGTTCAACGATTCTTTTCTGACCTTTGTCAAGTCTACTAATGAACCTATTAAAGTTACTTTTTAATTTCTGATACAGTGGTTCTGATTTTTAGCATTTCCTGTTGATTCTCAAAATTTATCTCGGTTTACATAATCAATATGTTCTTTCATGTTGTCTACATTTTCCATAAGATCCTTTCATCTCTTAATCACTTTTAAAATCCCTCTCTGAAAATTTCATCACCTGTGTTGTATCTAATTCTAGTCTAATGCATGCTTTGTCTCTTTAAATTGTGTTTATCTTGCTTTAGGAATGCTTTGCAATGTTTGGTTTTGGTTTATGACTAGATATAAGGTAAATAGTCCTGTAGTGAAAGAATTTATAGGAATCTGTTTAGGAGTTGGACTGTATTTAATGTTTGTTGTAGCTATCGGTGCTAGCGGCTTTAAATTCTCTACCATTTTTGTTTCTGTCTCTCTTTTTGATTATGTACTTTTCTAAGTACTTTACCTAGAGAGAGTCTGGATCTTGCTGGGATTTTTCGGCTGGTTGGTTGCGTTTTTTAAACAGTAATCCACTGTCATTATGCCGGAATCCTGCTGTGGTAACCATAAGGTGGTAGGGAAGGAAAGCATTCTATATTCTTATGATTAAGTCTTAGTCTTTTAATGACTCTTCGCTGTGACTTTACAAGTGTTTTTGCTGTGGCATAGCTTCCCCTAATCCCCCTTAAGTGAGACAGGAAGGCCAGAGGGAGCCACAGTGTAATGATGTCCTTTCCCAGCTGGAATGAGGCTCTGGTAAAGTGTTTTCTTCTGGAGAGTAGGCCTGTGCTATGGGGAACGTGCTGGAAGTATTTCACCATGATTATTCTTCCTCTGACCCCACCAGGGTTCCATGGTATCTTTCTCAGATATTCATTGTACAAACCTGGTGGGATTCATGGAGGTAAATCCTACAAAAGTGTGGGGACCTCCTAAAACTACTGCCTCCAGGAGTTTCTCACTCTCAAACTAATCCATTCTCAGCTTTCAGACTTCCGTCAAAATTAACACTTAAGTGCTCCTACTAGTTTGTGGCTCCAGTGGCTTCTGCTCTAGGTAAGTAGATTTCAAGTGATACTCTCTTAATTCATTGTTTTCTCCAGCTTTTGGAATAGTGGATTGCCCTTGTCAGAGCTCAGAAGACAATACCCCAAAGTATGACATCTTGGTGTGCTGCATACTTTGAACTAAAGAAGACAAAAGGGCCTCAGAAGCAAGGTCCTTCTGACCTTCCATCTTCATGTCTCCCACCCTTCTTCCTGCCCCTGATCCAGTCATAGAAGCAAGAATTCCTCTTCCCCAAGGCAGATCATAGAAACTAGAACTCCTCTTTACCAAAGAAAACCACAAAACCAAAAAAGGTCTCCTTTCTCTCTTCTCCCTTAAAGATCCTCATTTCAGAGAAAGCCTGCTCCATACATGGGAGGAAAGAATGTCACATAGAGAAGCCAGCAAAAATCCGAACAGACAGGTCTTACTGGGTCCTCCTCCCCTCAAGCTTGTTACCACTAGTTCATACTCTTTTGTTCAATCACTGTTCTACATGGCTGTTTATTCTTCGTTGAACCTAACCATAAAAATAGACAGCTTCCCCTGGGTCCTTGGGTCTTCATTTCTGAAGGCTCCTACAAATCTTTGATAAAATAAATTTGTTACGCTTTTCTCTTGTTAATCTGTCTTTTATTATAGGAGTGACAGCTGTGACCCTTATGATGGTGAGAAACTAACACCTGCAACTAACACCTTCCAACTTTAGTTCTCTAATGGGTTCAAGAAACGTGGTCGATTTGTAGTTGTTCAGCTTTTTCTTGTAAAAACGGGCTCTTCACTGTTGGGGCTAAAACGATTAGTCTAAATATTACTTGTAAAACTTTTGTTTTCCTTATATATCTGTGCACTTGTACTGAGTCATGATGTAAAACGTAGTTCTTACTAGTTGTTCTTAGTAGGGTTCAAAACATTTCAAAATACAGTGACATGAAGCAGAGAAAATAAGGCTCTGGCCTATTTCTGGTGAGGCATTTTCCATCCATACTCCCAAACAGGTTCAGGTAACCATCTTGAATATTGATACAAAGCAGTCAGCGTTTTGGGAGAAAATTTCTCATCAATTTACAGAATATAACAGTTGAAACAAATACTTAAATAAGTTTAATTATGATAGTTGGTAAATAGTGGTTTATTTATCTATTTATTACAGATTTGTTGTTTAACCATGGAGACAATATTATGCCTTGGTATATCTTGGAAAGCATGACATATTCATTTTCTGCTTTTCTTATAATTAATTTGAACTTTGACATGTTTTATTCTTTATACTGTCCTAGCCAGTAGGTATACTGAGCAAAAATTTTTAAGTAATGTGAATAATTATATTTGACATCTTGATCTGCTATTTGGGAAATAGTATTTAAGTGCTTCTGAATCTGCAATATTGATGTTTCTATGGTGACTTTAGTCTAACTAAATTTAAATTCTGAAACTAATTAGTTAGAAAATTGTATTCATTAAACCACTTAAGAATGTGACATAATGAAGTAGGGGGCATTGAGACAAGAAAGAAAGAAAAGGAAAGAGAGAGTTTTTCTCATTTTTCTCATTTCTACATATGCTTATCCATGACAGAAAGCAGTGTCTGAAATGTTTATAAATGTTTAGTATGGAGTTTTTCCTTCTTGTAATCCAACTTCAGTCTAAGCTGTGCAAGGAAATCCATACACACGCTTTCCACACAAACAGAAGTCTGTAAATGCTTTGTAAATAGACTGCATAATCACTATATTTAAAAAGGAATAAATGTTCAAAATGTGTTTGACATGATCTTTAATTTAAAATATTTTTGCCATTTCCAAATTCATAACAAGATTGAGCATCTTTTTATTTCCAAATATTTTATAAAGTTCACATTTATGAGGTTTTGTAAGATGATTTTATTCTCTGATCATGAAAAGACATCATAAATGTAAAAACCAAGTAGTCTTACATTTATATTAAGCTATCTGGAAATTAGTATTAGATTAATATTAGAGTTTGATTTTAGCACAATTATTGTTGCAAGTATGGTTATTCCATCTGGAATTTTAAATCTGATACAATTTATCATGCTATAAGCAAAGCTGGATAATCAAATGATTAGCTTTGTAAGTGAGATAAGGAAAAGATGAGAAGATTATATGTACAAATTGCACCATACTGATAAAATAATGGGGAAAAAATGCTTTTCAGAGCCACAAAAATATACCAGAGACTTGGGGGGAAAAAAGACAGAAAGGGAAGAAAATAGAGTTTATTAATAAAACTCAGAATAAATTGCTAATCCAAATGTCACAACAAAGCACACAATTTTAGTTATATGTTTAGTAATTGCCATATATTTAAATGCTGTCTGCTGACATATTTAAAAATGTATGATGTTACTGGATGTCATTTCATTACACAGTATACAAACTAATTTCTCATAATTTACATGTTCTTACTTTTGCAAATCCAGATTAATAATAACAACCTTGGGTATGTGAAAACTAAACACAGGAAACACCTGCAGAACAATATTAGTTTTTGTAGGGAAGTGAAACCATTTATCATAAATTTATTGGAAGGAACTCAGGATGATGTTTCATACTTATTAAATCATAAACATTCTTACCTAAAGCTTTCATGCACCAGACTTTCTTACTCCAAAGGGCTGGCCGTGTTCTAATACGCTTATTATTTGATGTAAATTCAACTTCCACAGTATCACCAATTACTTCATCTCTCAAAATTACGAATATTTCACCAGGATTCTGTAAGTTGAAAATGTAACCCATTTAAGCATTTGAAAAAGTTTACATTAGTCAAAAAACCCATTACATTTCTTTATAATTAAGGTAATACACTATCATTGAATAAGTCTTCTATGGTGTTTGTATTTTCAACTGTATCTGTAAATAAAATACATAAATGTGATTCTCACTACATTTTAAATATTATCAAATTTCTTTTTATTGGATGTTCTTTTTTCCCCTCTAATGCCGTTTTGCAACTTAAAGAAACAGTGTGAATATGGCCTCTTCCTTTTCCTCTTGCCTCTTCCTAAATATGGCTCTCTGTACCAGGGTATACGCATCATTTCACAGACCAGCAGAAGACTATAATTCAGTTGTTAACCAAATCATTTTTCCAAATCCCTTTTTTACTCCTTTGTGTAACTTGGTTTCTTTATCTATAAATGATAGAATTGAAAAAGTTTAAGATCTCTTACAATTTAAATATAATGACTTTTCTTTTAAGAAGTCTAATAGTTTTATGTTTTATGTAGTAGAAGTTCAGTGGCTACTCTTTATTTATGACAAGTGTCTGCGATGGTTTTTGAGTTGACTAAAGGTTATAGATCTAAAGTTTCTAGATTTAATTAACATGTAAGAGCCAAATCTATAAGGTGAAAAAGGTTATTGAATAACTCTTTGTGAAAAAATATTGAGAAACAATACTAGGAATGAAAGATTGGGGTTAATACAGAGAAAAGAAAGGCATAAACATTTATTATCTATTTTATACTAGAAATTATACTCAGCACTTTTTATATAAATATATTTCCTCTAATCCTAACTGAAACAGATAAACACAAAGGCATACATATAGAAAGACAAACACACACACACACACACACACACACACCTCCCAAAATAAATAGATAAGGCTATTTCTTTTTCTCTTTTAAGAAAAGGACAACTAATATATAGAATTACATTCTGAAGTCTAATCAGAAATATTTAACTTCCAAATCCACACTACTCCTTATATCATGCTGTCAAACCCCATGAAAAAGCTAAAATAAAACATTCTTTTTATGATTATCTTAGATATCACCTTTCAAAAGCTTTCTTCAAGTCATACTAAGTTTCAATTCCATGCTAAAAAAAACAAGGATCGTACTTATATGCTCTTATAAAATCATGTTTATCAAAAAGTTACTAATTTCAAGATTCTCTTAAATGCCCCTAAGTATAAATTACTCACCAATAAAACTTACATCTTTATGCTTTATCCCAAAGAGCTTCTAACTACGTTGACGTTACAGAATCATTTCAGCTCACACAAAAATCTACTTCAGGCATTTTCCACCAGAGTCTAATACCCCCAAATATTTGTCCGCAGGGTATTTTGAACTAAATTTCTCCTCAGAATTTATACTGCTCATCGGGAAAGGATCCTATTTCAAAAGAACTCCCACTATTCCACCTGTTGCTCTTGCCCCACACATCCAACATGCCAGAAAAGCGGGAGTGTAAGCCCTCCTGTTCCTCACATCTGCAACCTCCTCCTCACAGGCCTCGCTTCTGGCAGTTCTTTTGTTCCTTTTGTTTCTTATATCTTTAAGAGCCAAATAATGTCTTTCCATTTCACTTGGGCTCAGTTACTCAAGATCCTCTGCTTTAAAGTTCAGAGATATTTCCTGTGTGTGCATCATTCCTTGTTTAACTTTGACTTAGCCTTTCCACATCTGGCCAATGCACATGTGCTCTCCCAGTGTTTTATCCACCCAACCGACTCCCCACTCATGACTGCTTCTGACATATCAGATTCCCCATTGAGGGTCAGGCACAGTGGCTCACACCTGTAATCCCATTACTTTGGGAGGCCGAGGCAGGTGGATCACCTGAGGTCAGGAGTTCAAGACCAGCTTGGCCAACATGGTGAAACCCCGTTTCTACTAAACATATGAAAATTACTTGGGCATGGTGGTGCATGCCTGTAATCCCAGCTACTCAGGAGGCTGAGGCAAGAAAATTGCTTGAGTTCGGGAGGCAGAAGTTGCAGTGAGCCGAGATCACACCACAGCACTCCAGCCTGGGCGACAGAGCAAGACTCTGTCTCAAAAAAAAAAAAAAAAAAAAAAAAAAAGGCAGGACTCCACCTTTCAACCATTTCCAGAGAAAAGCTCTAAACAAAAGACAAGCACACTGACCACCCCAAATGAGGCACTCACATCTTCATTTGTACCTATGGCCAGCTTCATGGGCCGATGACCTTACAGTCACACAGGGCCCCACACTTAGAAGGCCCTGTATTTGGTTTAATATTCTGCTGTAATTACTTTGACATTATAATAATTTGAACATGGTACTTTGTATTTTCATTTTGCACTGTAAACTAGGCAGCCGGGCCTGCTCGAACATAATGTTGGCATGATATTTCCTTCCTTTTCTCCTTCTATATCCCCATATTTATCCTCTCCAACAATGTCCAACTCAGATCTCACCAGCTCCACAAAGTCCTCCTACAACTTCAGCTTACAAGATTTAGAACTTTCAAAGGAACACTAGAGCACTGAATATCCATAATCATCATTTGACTGTTACTAAGAGTCACGCTCTCTACTCCTGATTAGTTTTTCATGACTGTATCTTGCCTTTCTAGCTAGATTTTAAACATCCTAAGGGTGTTTCTGTTTTCTTATATTATTGTAGTACCTTTCAAAAATTATGCACATAAAAACATTCTGTATATAAATTTTTAAATTAAGATGCAGTAAGTCTGTAAAAAGATGACATTTTTAAATTGAGTATGCTCAGCTCTGTTCCATACTTCTCTCAGTACTCAAAGCTTCCTCTACTCCTGGGAGTCAGCACTGGCTCTTAATTATATGAGTAAATTTAATTCAGTGGAGAAAATATTAGGAACCCCAATGGTCATAAATTAGTTTTACCACTTATGAAGCTATTATTTTGCTCCCAATCTTTCTGACTCCTCTGTGAATCCCTTATTTGGGTCAGAGCATTCAGGGAAACAATGGGTTATGACAGTTACCACTTCCAAACTTTAAAGCTTGGCTACATTGGTCATAAGCCTTGAAACCTAACAAAAGAAGTAAAATTTGGTCTGCAATGTTGCATTTATATCCGAGTCTCTGAGGTAGGACACAGGCATTATTTTGTGTGTGTGAAAACTCCCCTAGTAGTCCCTGTATGTAGTTTAGTTTTTGATAACCACTTACTTAAAAGAAAGAGACATCTTTTGGTCACTGTAAAACTTCACCTCTGAGAAGGCATCACTTCACAATACAGACATTTCAGGCATTAATGCACACAATCATCTTTTGCCGCTTTTACTGTATTCAATTAAATCACAGGATTGGGCTTTAAGTTAAGGTTGGTTACCAAGGACTAGTTTGTGATTTGGTATCAGAAGTAAGTGGGTAGTGCCATTAACTTTTGTACACTGTTTTAAATTGTATTCAGAGTCAATGGATGAATGGGTAAAAAGGTAATCTCTGAGATTCTTCTAGCCCTTAAGACTCACATTCTTTCATGGCATCTCAATTTATCTCTATATTTGTTTATTACATAATCCATGGTCTGTCCTATGGGCTTGAAGACTCATATTAGGGTTTTAGCCTTAAGAGTGTGTCAATGAACAGGTCATATAAAATAAAGACCTTTATTAGGGAATATGGTGTGTGGTAGGATTCTGATTTTAAAAACATTCAATAAAATTAATATAGATCCAAATGCTGATAAAGCCACTTTAAAGGTCTTTTGTGGTTGCATGATGACTTTCAGAATTAAATTTTCTCAAGAAATCAATAAGTGACTCAACTGGTTTTTTAAATGTCTCTATCTTAACATCAGAATAGCAGCAGTGGGAAAATAAAATAAAAATAAAAGAATTAAGGTTGATTATACTAAAGGAAGTAAGAGATTTGGGGAGAAGGAAAGTTGAGATTACAGCGGGCAGATTCTACCAAAAGGAAGGGAAAATGATACATTTAAAGATCTGGGTTTAAAGAAAAAAAGAGATAAAGAAAATAAGCTCACTCTTAATTGTTCTTTAGGATGGAGCTACTGCTGAGAAAATATAGAAGTCATTTCTGAATCTGTGGCTAGGGATCACAAAAATAAGATTTAACCTTGACACTGTTGATATTTTTTGACCAAATGTGTAATTGTTGTGGGAGTTGTTGTGTGCATTACAGGAAGTTGAGCAGCTTTCAGAGTTCTACCCACTAAATGCTAGTAGCAATCCCCCAGTTATGACAATCAAAAATGTCTGAAAGCTTTGCCAAATATCCCCTGGGTAGAGAGGGTCAAAATCACCTGCACTGGAGAGCCACTGCTTTGGGGGTGTTTGCCAGAGTAAAGGACTGCACAGGGAAGAGAAGTTACTAAAAAATAGACCAGGTCTAGTTCTGGTTTTGGTGTAATTTCAATGGAAGAGTACCTCACACGTGGATTTTTCATCAGGGAGATAAAATTAGGTGAGATTCATTTGAACAGTGGATGCATTTGGGAGACTTAGAACTCACATCTCTCATGGTCAATTAACCCACACAAAAAAATCAAGAGGCATATGCCAGAAAAACAAATGTCTTGGCCCATAAACAAAGAAAAGTTAAAAAAAAAATACTAAAACAAGAAAAGCATGCCAGTCATACAGAAAGTAAAAGAAGAGGTCAAATTAAGAAGCAGATTGGAACTGCTAAAACTCACCTAGGTATTTCTCAAAGACACAGATAATTAACTTACATAAATAGGACAATGGAGGGATATCTTCATTAGTGCATGAGAAAAAAAAAGTTAAAGAAATAAAGTAAAATATTTTTCTGCTGTTTGAGAAGTGGCACAAAATTTTCAAGGTCTAGGAAATCCAAATTTGTGAAAAAGAGCAGTGCTAGGAAGAGTGACAAGGCAGAGGAATCAATATTCTCAAGCTTCAAGGGTCACAGGCAGTAGCAACAGCACCCATTGCCTTAATTAACGATAGACTAAAGTTAATGCTCCAGAGTAGATGAGGGCACAGAGAAGAGAATTTCTCTAGGAGGCAGGTCCATAGACCTCAGCAATTCCACAGCAAGAGCCAGCAGTAGGAATAATTTAAACTAACTCCCTTTTCATCAGGGAGAATGAAAATTATGCAACTATAAAGAACTCATAGTCAACCCAGTGTTAGCATGCTGGAAACACAAAACTAAAAAGAGAAATTAACAGGGTTTGAATATACTGGGTGTAAATCAGGTACATCTTAAAGAAGACCTGGTGACTGACTGAGTTAGTATTGTAAAATTTCTAGATTTTTTAGGATGATAGGGAAACCTCAACTATCATTTCCTTAAGGCAGTAGTCTTAAGTAGTCTCTATTCATGGATTACTTGGAATACTTCTCAGAAATGAACTGGATTTCAAAGGTTGTGCTTTCAGACAGTTGCCATAGGCTGAAAGTTGTCGTGGCAAGTCTGAAACACGATTTTCACTCAGTGGGTAAAAGTGGTCTTTTCTATGGTGGTTGGCAATAGTCTTATGGATTCACACTAGGTTCTGAAAATCTAGGTTCTGAAAACAACAAAATATTGTCTGGGATAACTATTTTTGGTCCAATGATTAGCTTACTTTGATGAGAATGTGGGGCTGGCAATAAAATAACTTTGTATAGCCTTTTAAATATTTAGGATTCTTTAAAAAGTGGGGAACCTAAAAGAAATTTTATATTGAAATAATTTAAATCCAAGAGTCTGAAAGAATTATATCAATGTCAATAAAAAAAACAGTCCATGATTCTCCTACTGAAAAAACCCTTATCTAACTAGCTATCTACATAATACATCTTTGCTTAGATAGCAGTGAGGTTTGATTTTGCGACTGATTTCTTTGAAAATTTAGTAAGAGAAGGGTCTTATAGTGCCTGAATTTTACTGTTGCAGATATTTTTAAAAGCAGCTACTTAGACTCGTTGTATAACTCCTGTTGAGCTACTTTTAGTTTCAGAGGGTTTTCTTTTTTCTGCTTTGATTTCATCTACTTGAGAGTAGTTGCCATTTTTTTATTACACTTCTTTTCTGTCTTTTCCATTGTTTCTGACTCAGTAGGAGCCACGAGTTCTGTTTAGCCTGATCTCCTTCCTTTAAGTTCTGAGTCCTTGTAATTTTTCTTTGCCTGATCATCTGCGTCAGTTTCTCACACCTGTATAATTCAGTCTCCTGGGGTCTCTAAGGTAGTGTCAAAGCATTTTTTTGTTCCTCTGGAACTGAGAACAAATAGCTTAAAACAGCAATTCTTCTGCTCAGGCATGGGGTAAGGGTGTAGAGAGTGAGGGTGAGGAAACTAAACTTTACCCCTCTACACAGGATATTCCACTTCCATCAGGACCACTGATACCAGTAGGATCAGGAGACCCACCCAAAGGTCAGTGAGCCCCTGTCACTGGCTTCTATCAGAAAGACTCCTTCAGGCAACTCCCATAAGGCTCTCCTGTATATCTGCCTCTTTATACTCAAGGATGCCACAAACTGAGGCCCAGCATCTTTTTCTTGTCCTAAGATTATGTAGTCAGAGATTTGGAAAGGCTTATTTTAGTGGTTCATTCCAAGCAAGATTTAGGAGGAAGACATGCTGAGAACATACATTCCCATAGTCACCTGCCCAGAAATCATCCCCCCACATTATACTCTTACTTCCTGAAGGACTATCTCATCTAACTTTTATGGTATTTCCACTTAATGTCAGCCTTTAATACATGTTTCATCATTGAAAAATTGGTGTTTTAAAATTCTATCCAAGGGTATGTTTCCCTTTAGGAAAATAGATCCTTAACCTATTTAATGTGAATCTAAATTTATTTTAATTAGCTTGATAGTTATGGCAATTGTACATCTATTTGCAAGATGTGAAGTAACAGTTGATAAAATTAAGCTTCCATATAACCTTCACTATTTAATTTTTCAATAATTATGTAACAAATGCCTATTAATTCAATTATCATCCAGTGTGTATCAAATGCCTAATTGCCTAAGTTCAGAGGATAGCCATGAACAAAGTAGACAAAAATGATAGCTATGTTGGAGTTTGCATTCTTGTGAAATACAATATCTATTAAAAAATAACAGGTGGGCTGGATGCGGTGGCTCATGACTTGTAATCTCAACGTTTTGGGAGGCTGAGGCAGGAGGATTGCTCGAGGCCAGGAGTTAAAGATCAGCCTGGGCAACATAATGAGATCCTGTCTCTACAAACAACAACAACAACAACACAATGGGGTCACTAAAATAACAAGGTATCTTTACTGACCTCACATGGAATTTCAGCAGGAAGCACCACTGCTAGTGGTATGGTGTTTCTTGAAGCTTCTGGCAGTTCTTCAATTTCTTTTCTCTCACTTATTTCCCCAGAATGTTTTACTTGTAGGTCTGTTGGAATGTTGACTTCAAGGTAGTCTGCAGAATCTAGAGAAAATTTTATGAATGTAGATTATCATATAACTAAAGCCACAGTATTTCCTCCATTGTTATAAAGACTAATTGCTGAACAACCAATTTAATATATGGGAAAACCAAACTGAGTTTAAGATAGCTGAAATAATTGAACCAATGTTAATAATTAAAATAATGCTTCACAATTTAACTAGTTTTATAATCATTATGACTAAACTAAATCAACTATGTAATACTATGTTCATCTACTAGTTAAGTGTTTTCCAAAAAATAGAATCCAGTCACCATTTATATTTTCTCTTAATATTAAAACAGTAGATCTGTAAAACATAAAACCATTTGTTTTCCATGATGGTTATTAAGGACATTTAAGTCGGAACAATTTAAATCAGAATAGTTATTTGCCCCTTACATATTTCTAATTTTAAAAAACAGAAAGCGCAATTATGGGACAATCACTAAATAAATTAAACTAGTATTTATTTCTAGGATATACTAGTTTAATAGTGAAATACTAGTACTCATCAAAATGTTAATGCATTCTATGGAAATAAGTGTCTATATCAAATAAATTGGGTTTCCTTATATCAGTGTTACTAAGAACACTGAAATATGCTAATGTAAATTTCAAATCTCAAAGAAGGAGTATAGTATCTGATTTTAAAAATTTTAACAGTAATTTAGCATTGAGTTTTAATCATTAAAACATTGTTCTCTATTCGGGAAAAAAATGTGTTAAGAGAAATAGATAATGTTTTATTATTATTCAGTATCTCAAAGTCCAAAATGTTTCACTAGGGCACAGAACCAATGCGGCTAAAATTAAGACTCTTGAAATGAGAAGGTCATATCTATAAACTCATGTGCACCCAAAAGCAGCCCTCAAACCCCTCAAGAAGGGAACTGGAATAAAGAAAAGCAGCTCCTGACGGTTGGAAACTAACCTGGCACCATGAGAATGCCTTGGTTTTCTGGAAGCCATCCTGGCACTCAGAGGCAGAATCTGGTTTTCTACTGAGCACTAGCAACATCAAAATTAGACAAGGCCACTCTGTCACCATGATGAACCAAGAGAGGGACAAGACCACGTTGTAATCATGTCAGAATCTAGACACTGCCCAAACCACAAAAAATGACCAAGTCCTGGCTAGTACGAATGACTGTTTCTTTAGCAATTCCAGCCTCATCTCATTTCTCCTGCCCTCTACATGGTGTGATCCACTCCTCCTAGTTTGTCTGGGAATTTCCTGGTTTGGGCTCTGAAAATGCCTTGCCCTAGGAAACCCCTCACTCTCAAGCAGACCAGAAAAGTTGGTCCCTCACTTCCAAGTAGAGTCATTAATATTCCATTAGTATGTCAAATCATAAAATTACACCTGCTTCTTGATAGCAGGCAAACTATATTCAAGCTCTGCTTCCTTGAACCCTCCCTCAAATCACTTAACACAAGTCTAAATCTTCCAAGTCCTTTCTAACGCCCTTTTCCTGAGATACTCCATGGTTCTCCCTGTTGTGCCTTCTCTTTATTGCAACAAGAAAAAACATCCAAACACTTCAAGTGCAGGTACCTTCCTGGTGGTTTTTGGCTAAGCAGCATTGACAGGGTAAAAAGATAGAGTCAAAGGCAGTAAGAGAAGTCACCAGCTTCACACAGGTAATTCTATCAGCAAAGCAGAGTAACAAAAGAGAGCCTCCCTTGAGAGGGAGGAGCTGTCCCCATGCTGTGTCTGAAAAGGAAAGTTTTCTTGTTTTCCTCTGTCTTATGAAAGTTGCAGAACTAAGGCACAAAAGCACCTAGGATTTCCAGCTTGCTCTCAGAACTAGTCTTGTTTGAAATGAAAAACAGTCCTTATTTCACCAACAATTTAAAACACTTTCATAAGCAATTTCTCTCTCTCTCCCTCTCTCTCTCTCTCCCCCTCCCTCCTGTCTTATACCCACACACATAGACATACACAAATCAAAATAGTGAAAGGTTGTATAAAACTGGCTCAGCACTTTTGTGAGTTTGTAGAAAAACTAAGAAATGGATTTTATTTAATACACCTTAAAAGGAGAAGTCATTCCACCATGGCAGTATCCAGGATTTTCTGCTAATTCTTCTGATATTAGGTAAAAAAAAAATTATTTTATTTACCCTGGGTACATAACAACAAATGTACAAAAAGACTTATCTCTATGAATATTCACTGAAGTAGTGTTTGTAATGGAGAAAATTGGAAACAATCTAAGAAATAATGAATAAAATAAAAATGTGATAAAAGTTGTCACTAATAATTCTATCAAGGAGTATTTAACAACAAGCAACAAGTTTATGCTATAACTGAAAAAAATTCAAGTTAAAAAATTGTCAATTTAGTAGGTTTCCATTCTAGTAAAATAAAAACTGTACATATACAGAGCTGTGTGGAGGGAATTAAAGACATAGACTTGAATGAATGAGAATAGACTAGCCATATATGTGTGTATATATATATAACCCAAAAATATTGAATGGTTATTTCTGGCTTGTGGGTAATGTGTAATTTACTAAATAGGTATAAATATATAATATTAATACCATCTAATAATACGGCATATGTAATATACATTCTGATTATTCTACACTGAAAATGTATGTATTTTACAGGTTTAAATTATGTATGTCCATTTAATTCAAGAGAGGAATGAAATGATGAAGATTGCAGACTGAGACCATGTATCTATTTTCCTATTATACAACATATAAATGCAATAATAGAAAAGATTGTTTTTAAGATAATGAATGTATTAAAGCACTAGAAATTCATAAATGGTGCAATTACATAAGAACAAATTTTGAGGAGTTTCTCAAAGATAAAAGTTAATCTGGAACTAAATGAACAGAGACATCACAACAGAGAAAACGGAGCCCAAAACACATTTGGAAAAGACAACTTTAGATAGAAAATTTGTTTTCCAAAACTAATTATTTTCCAAAACTAAATAAACCACAAACTTAAAATTCAAAGAGCAGAAGAAGGTCCTGGGACAAAGATAATGTTAATAAGTTAAAACCTAATTTGGAACAGAGATAACTGGGACTTTCCTAGCTGCTACTTCTACTGAGCAAAAGGAAGTTTTGCTTTTGCCCTAAGAATAAAACTAGACTATTTTAAAACAAAATTAGCTAGTACTGGGACTAGATAAGGGAACAGAATGGAACCTGATGTACTTACCACCCTTCCCAAAGACAACAGAGAAAGAAAAACTGATAAGAGAAGGGGTAACTCCAGCATTTTTTTCCAAGGGTTAAATTTGTAAGCTTGGCTCTCTACTTTGCAGGTGTTTTGACCAGGAGATTCATAGGAGCAACAACTATTAACTGACAGTGATCCTCCACTAAAAATTTAAACCGCCACCCAAGATTATCCTTCTGCTCTCCTTCTACGCTATCCCTCACCCAAATTCACTCACTCTTCCTCTGAGGCACCTTTTCTTAGCAACACCCTAGTCGAACTTCACACCTCTATATCTCTAGTGCATACAATTGTGCCTGGCACATAGTAGAGACTTAATAAATACTTGTTGCCTGCTTTAATAAGCAAATAAATCCATGCCTAGTTAGGTTTCCTTAAATGACTTATGTTTCAAGGACAGTAACTTATTCTATCTACCACATGCCTTGCTCTGAAAAAGGCTTAAGGACATATTATGGCTGTTTCGATGTTCTATCCAGATCATTCAAACTTTCTCCAGATCAGCAATAAAGTTATTTTGCTTTCTTATCATTTGTGTGTTCACTGGAGTAGCACTTTTAATTTTCTTCAAGAACTTTTCCTTTGCATTCACAACTTGGCTAACTGTTTGGAGAAACAATCCTAGCTTTCTGCCTATATTGGCTTTCAACATGCCTTTCTCACTAAGCTTAATCATTTCTAGCTTTGGATTTTAAGTGAGAGATGTGTGACTCCTCCTTTCACCTGAACACTTGGAGGCCATTGTAGGCTTATTAATTGGCCTAATTTCAATAGTGTTTTGTCTCAGGGAATAGGGAGGCCCAAGCAGAGGGAAAGAGATGGGAGAATACCCAGTCAGTGGAGCAGTCAGAATACACAAAACATCTATTGCTTAAGTTCACTGTCTTGTATGGGTGCAGTCCATGGCACCCAAAACAATTCCAATGGTAACACCAAAGACCATTTGTCACAGATCACTACAACAGACATAATGATAATGAAAAAACTTTGAAATAGTGCAAGAATCAGCAACATGTGACACAGAAACATGAGGCAAGTGCATACTGTTGGAAAAATGGTGCCAATAGACTTGCTCAACAAAAGGTTGCCACAAACCTTCAATTTGTAAAAAATGCAGTGTCTGTGTAGCACAAAAAAGCAAAGCACAGGCCGGGCGCGGTGGCTCATGCCTGTAATACCAGCACTTTGGGAGGCCGAGGCAGGCAGATTCCTTGAGATCAGGAGTTCAAGACCAGCCTGGCCAACATGGTGAAACCCCGTCTATACCAAAAAATACAAAAAAAGAAAAAAAAATTAGTTGAGTGTCATGGCACACACCCATTATCCTAGCTACTCGTGAGGCTGAGACAGAATTCCTTGGGCCCAGGAAGCAGAGGTTGTGGTGAGCCTATATCATACCACTGCACTCCAGCCTGGGTGACAGAGCAAGACTCCCTCTCAAAAAAAAAAACCCAACCAAACAAACAAACCAAAAGACACCCAAACGTGAACACAAAGCAGAACAAATCAAGGTATACTCATATTAAGTGAAATAATAAAAATATTTTATATTCTAATGAGTTTTTACAGTTTATCAAGACTTTTACCAACACTGTGTTTCATTCTGAACACACACTTAAAAATATAATCCCTGTCCAGTGATGGATTACTGAATTTCTGTCAAACATTTAAAACTATTTGTAGACAGTTCTTAAACTCTGTGGCTCAGAAACTGTTCCTCCCCAATAAAATGTGAAGTCAAATAGAATCTTTCTCTCCTCTTCTAACACTTTTCTAAAATGTGCAGAGAATACA